CATCTCCTAAAATGTCACATTAAGTGAGATATATTTTAAAATATCGCACTCAATATCTTAAATTGAACCTTTTCTTTTCATAAATGTACACCCCTACTAATTTATCTCTTTGATTTCATATCAATGTAAACTAAAGGTTCTTATTAATAAAATGTGTATATGGTATTTATAAGATATGTTTACAATAATCCTTTCTTTTATCTATAAACAAATATACCCCTCTCTGCTACCTTCCCTAGGGTATCCAACAGGCGGAGAACACACAGGCAACAAACACTCGTTAAACAACATTAAATGGGTCTCGTTTTTTGGCCAGTGGAATGGGAGCGTGTGCGGAACCATTGAAGGAGAGGTTCAACCGGGGGATACAACGAGGGTTATGACTCATCCCGAGACCCGATCGGACCTGGGGTCTGGGAATCGCTGAAAGTCGCTCCGTTGGGCTGGTGGCGGTGCTCGCTTTAAGCTTCCGCAGCAGACAGACATTGCCGATCGGGTTGGGATTCATTGGGAATCGTCTGCCTAAGCAGCCCCTCAATGACAGGCGTTACAAAATGGGAAAAAATATATATGAATGCATGTATAAAATAAAGGTAGGAGAATGAGTTAATGACCCGAGTGCTACGGATCACTTGGCAATTGTCTTTGTGTGTCTGCTTTCTAAATGGGAAATCAAATAAACCCAAATATACATACGTTTCTGACAAGATCGAAATACGAACGGACCCAAAAACCACACAGACCAGCAGTTGGGATCTTGAAAAATTAACACAAATTAACGAAACGAAACGATATGGAGCCAAGGCAGAAAAAAATATACACAAACAGCAAATGTGTGAGAAATGGAGAGTTCTTTGGATTGGGGAAGATTGCGGGAGCAACAAAGAGATGACAATATTGTTTTTGAGACCAAAAAGATGAAGAACTGATATTGCGCAATTCTGGGAATAAATATATTGAACAAAGCCAGAGGGCGGGAGATGGAACGGCACCAACCTGTATGAGGAAATGAAAATGAGAGGGAATTATTATGAGAGTTCTCGTTAATTAATGAATGAAAGGCGACAAAGGTGACCTAGTTTAACTGTATTTTAATAATTATTAAATTAATATTAGAATAAAAACCATTAACAAAATAATCGTGATATCAAATGCTACATTTATTTCAACATTTAACCAGTTATCAAAATTCCTAATAGATCACAAACGATATAATTGGAAAGCGTAATGACCATCTAACCAAATCTAAATAGAGAAAGTTAGACGCTATTTCTATTAATGATCATATGGAAGCAATTGTTAATAGAGCCTAAGTAGAGCACTCAATATCAAATAAACCCTCAATGATTAAACTTAAATCATTAGGGAAAATTATATACGTATGAGTGATAAACTATTTAATATAAAGAACGATTTATTAAAGAGAATAGCTTGCAACATACTTATCATAATGATAATGATTAAATTGTGGCTTTCATTTTTCTGAGAATTAATCTTCTTGCAATAAATCTTGAATAATTCTGATATATTATACATCATAACGGGACAATCAAATACGAGAAGAAAAAAAAAAAATTCCCACTCAAGTTATCGCATTGTTGATATTACTCATTAGCATCCGCGAATGTTATGAATGTTTTTACATACTATAATCGGTAATACATATAAGGGGGGTATGTGTAAGATATAACATTTTGAGGCAGTCCCAGAGACAAAGACTGCGAGACACGTCAGAAGATGACCACAAAAAATCAAGTGATGAAATTACGACTGAAAGTTTGCTTTCATTTGGGAATATCTTCCCTTCAAAATGTGTAAAATGAAATTCTGAAATCCCGATCAGAAAAAACGGGACCAGAACAGGATTTCCGGGTTGATCAAAGACTCGATTGACACACTTCCCAGGAATGAATAACATGTGGGTCATTTAGCATGCAGATTGAACACTTAATCGATGAAAATAATATCCAATTTGACAAATTCAATAAGCCACAAGACACAACCTAATCGGGAAAGTCAGAACAATTAGATATGCAAATGATATATGGGTTTCCCAAATAGCAACCCTACTTGTTCAATGACTAATTTGAATAAAAAACACCCAATAATTACCCGCATTCAGAATCATGTAATCCTTTAAGGAAATATAAAATAAACAAGGTCTTTCGATTCGTATCTCAGGATTTGAAGATTTCGCCTCATTGGGCAATTATAGTTACAAAGATGATTATCTCAGGGGAAAGAATAACAATGAGAGGACTATGCTAAAGGACTTTAAGAGGTCAATCATCGAACTAATTGACATTTCGAGAGCCTCAATTATGTTTAATGCGCAAATTGCCGCAGGTTGAGCTCAAATGGAATATATTTAAGGGATAATGCTTGGGCTGACCTGGGACCCTTTGAGACTCCACCTTCGATGGCAATGATTCAGCAGCAAGAAGTTAGAGAAAAAAGGTCCCAAAAGCCTAAGCTCCGCCCCAGAAAACGAGACAGACCCAAAAACTCACAAAATTTCCCAACTTGAACCACATTGGTTCCCCACCAAAAAACAGTCGGAAAGAGAGAGCGAAGAACATTATTTTTTGGCTTCCTCTTTTTGGCCAGACGAAGCATAAAACGCTGTTAGGAAATAAGCCACGCCCAGGCATCCCGGATTTATGTGTTGACGCGAACCCGGAAAGGAGAAGACCAACGAAGTTGGAAAAAATATATATACATATAACTATGTATACGTATCTTGAAAAAGGAAAGAGCGAGAGAAAAGTAGAGTAGTTCCTTCAACAATAGACCTAGAGACATCGCAGATGTAGTAGCTAGCTACCAACGATGACGCAGAACAACCCCCAAAGTGGCAGCTATTCTCTATCGCAGTGGAAGGCACTTGAGACGCAATCCGTAAGATACTTTCTTGGTGTGTGCTCAAGTGCGTGTATAGGTACAGTCCAACGGCATTGTGGGTGGAGTTAAGTCAGGAACAGGGTAACTATTATTTATTTGGAATTATATTTAATAAGAACACAGTAAATAAGTATTGATTTTTATTTTATAATTGATTTAAAAGGTATCATAACTAATATAATTTAATAAAATTATAGATAGAAGGATAGATAGATAGATAGCCCTTTTCCCCAAGTTCATAAAGGATTTTATTCTTATAGATATGAGATCTCAACTATTTATTTATCTATCTATCCATCTATTTATTTTGACTATCAGATACAACTTCTTTTCTTGTATTATTTGATCAATCTATTAACTGTTTCATCATTTCAGGCAAATGCTAATATTTATTTACTTAAGTAACTAGTATCTCAATTACTCATTTTTCTTTCAAGAAAATATAGATTGAAAAAGCTTATAGGGTCATAAAAGAGAAAGTTCTTAAATTCCCCTTACGTATTTTAGTTCTAGAAATTTATTCAATTTCCTTGATTGAAAAACTACATTATAAGTGATATAATGATAATTCTTCTGATCTTGTTATACACCCCTTTTCCTTTGTAATATAGAACAGGTCAAAGTAGGTACATTCATTCATAAAATTATAAAAGAGAGACAATGAACGAAAACCATTGTTCGTATATCATAACCATCCGAAGGCTAATTAATAATATTTAATCCCAAGTATCATTTTCGTATACGAAAACAAAAATTAACTTTCCTGTGAAAATACTTATTCATATCCGACTGGTTCCGCTCTAATGGATATACTGCAAGTGAAAAGTACAAAATATATGATATCCATTGTGTTAATATTCCCTGTATGGTGGAGATGCGTGCCTTTAATTTATGGCAGATTGTCATAATTCTTAGTCGGAAGCTTCGAATGATTGTGTAAACACTTGTAGAACGCCAGATACTGATAAAGAGAGATTCAAGTATAAAGATACGGATGACAGGTGGGCTCGTCAAAGAGAGAAATAACAGAAATAAGAACTTAACATTGCCCACTTGCCCATATTTCAAGTACATCTGCCTGCCACCCACACATAATGCTCTCTCTCTTTTTATACACTAACTTAAATATACAAGTTATAAACATGTTTGGAAATTATTTAAACATTATTAAACTATTATCTTATATATTTGGTATTTCGAAGTACATAAATTAAGTATACGTACTACTGGAATATATTTATAAAAATAATAATAAAGAATAAAATGTATATTTAAAAGCAAAAAACTGTATTAGAGTAGACGGGCAAGTACCTACTAATTTTTAAAATATTTTAATCATGTATACATATTATAAAAATATAATTATCAAAATAATAATGACAAATAAAATGTATGCTTTTTTAGCAAAATCCGATTTTTCTATATATTTATATTTATAAAATGCTTTACAATTTTGTTATACATAAATCAAGTATACGTCTATAAAATTTCCCATAAATTGTTATCAGATTGATATGAAATTTTATATATTATTGTATTATAATATCCTAAGGCATTTTATGAAGTTTGGTTGATCTACATTAAGCCATATTCCATGTAGGCTAAATATTATACCAAAGAGTATACCAAACTTGGAACCCCAAAAGCCAGCCTTTTTCCATCTCTCTTTCTCCACCTGTCTCTGTCCCTGTCTGATTCCTTGCCTCAAAGGCGTTTGTCATGCCCTGACGATTTAATACAATTAATATGCTAACTGTACTTCTCGCCGCACACACAGTTACAACAAAGGCGACGGCACACACCGAGCACAGGCATAAATACACGCTTGGCAACAGGCGCAAGGTGGCCCCGCCTTCCGCCCACCACAAATTTTTACCTTATTTCTTTTTTTTTTTGGAGCTGCGAATGAGGCGATGTCAACAAAATACCAAAACAAAAAAACCTCAGCCAGAGAGAGAGAGGTACACCACAGAGAGAGAGCAAAACACCTACCAAAGTGAGAGCAACCACCAAGAAAAAGAGCGCACCGAAGCCAGGGAGAGAACCGGGTATAAATAGCCAGCGAGCAGAGCTCAATGTATTCAGTTGGAAATCACCCAGCGAAGCAACATCAATCCGAAAGATACAGATACATAAAAAAGAGAAAACCGCCAAGAACAAAGTGAACGAACTCAAAAAAATACGAAAGAAATATACGTGTGCGAGAGACAACAACAAAGAACTACACAAAAAAACTTGATAAACATTCATTGTGCCGAAGAGAAAGTCATTGAGTCATCATCTTCTTGTGTAATTCCAAACTTTAAATTAAATTACTTAATAAAAGCGGAGTTAAAACAAAACTTAAAGAAACAGCAGCAATGGCAGTGGCATTCTTCATACCCGATCAGGCGACTTTGCTCCGAAAAGCGGAGCAGGATGAGCGGCAAATCCTGCGAATGCGGGAAACCCAATGGCGTTTCCTGGCCACCATTGTCCTGGAAACCCTTCAGCAGTTCAGCCAATACAGCTTGCCCAAGTCGGGCAGAAAATCTGGAAAATATCGCAAACCATCGCAGTGAGGAGAAGGAGGAAAAGCTTGAGTAAACCACAACTACAGCTACAGCGGCAAACTATAGTCCAGTCCAAAAGCCAGAGTACAAAGGAAATAAGCATCAGCCAACCCAAAAAAATAACAAATAATAAGGAAAATCATTCATCATGCATCAGCCGATACTCTAAAAGCAACCAGAAAACCCACCCAATTTTTTAGTTTACTCATCAAAGCGATTGTGATAATGGTTTTGTTTCTACAAAAAAATACTAATTGAAAGAAAAAATATAAAAAAAAATATTTTACAAAAATCTTTTATAAAAATCTCTTTGAAAATGTCCCCAAAAAAACTTTTGTACGCAAATTTTTAAAGACATCAAAAAAATAGTTTCATTAGCTATAATTTAAATGTAAATCCTATTTAAATGAATTACTACTGTATTAGTATGTAAGTTCTTTTGTAAGCGACTCTTTTTCTCAGTTTTTCCTAAGAGCAAAACCCAGAAGGAATGTAAAACGAATCGTAGTTGGCTAAAAATTGCATCAATTTTTTGTCAAACAAAAAGTCAATAAAAAAAAATTAAAAAAAATATATAATGCAAAATTATAAACATAAATCTCTGTTGAATTTTTCATATATTGATGGGGGCAATTTTTCAGATTTTATATATAACAAAATGATGACGCAGGGGAAGTCAAGGTGAAATAACCGCATTTTTCATATTTTGGCTTTCACCGACGGCTAAAAGGAACTTTCTAGAAATCAATCAAGAATATATTTTCATCGATTTCCGACGGCTACTTTTTGATTTAATGACTATATGACGGAAGGAAGAACATATTTTAAAGGTCAAATTGTTTTTAAAAATTAAATAAATTCACAAAAGACTTCGATATTTATTGTTAAGAAGTATTTTTAAACCGAATTATTACCAAGAAAGATTGCCGACGGAACATCTTTCTACAACAATCAATTCATCGGAGCTACAATAATCAATAATTTAAACTGGAAAATATTTTTAAAACTGGGTTAAATTAATATTCCAAAGAATAATAATACTCCAGAGAAGTAACTAGAATTTTCCAGAATTATTTAGGTTTTAACGAACTTGTTTTCAATCAAGTTTCTTTACTAAATATATCAGAAATTATTTATTAAATGTGAATTATTAAAAAGAAAATTACTTTTGAAGTTAAGCGTACAGTAATGAATTATTTTTTTAAGGAAACTTCAAATTTCTAGAAAAGTGGGTAATAATATTTATAAGCAATACTACACTACAAATATTAAACCATTTTAACTTGTCAGATCTAACCATTAAAAACAAGTAAGTTGATTCAGAAATTTAAAAAAATCCAATAAACTCCACAATGCTCAACCCTCGATTAAATAAATTCTAATATTCTAGGAATCCTTAAGCTTCAAGGAAAATGATCACTGGCAACTGAAGTTTTCCACTTTGGAATAAACTTTTCCAGCCACTTCGACAACATTGTTCGACAAGCGGCGGCAAAAAGTCAAACGCACAAAGAAAATTCAATTATGCAAAAAAGAAAAACACAAAAATATTTTCCAAGATTTTTCGATGCAGAAACTTTCCACCAAAATAGTAGGGGGAATACATAGTCCTCCCCACCGCCCTTGATAATGTCCAAAAATTAGGTGCTAACAAAACAATTTGCATTTTTAAGTTAATTTTTCGCAAGGAAGGCAATTGGAAGGAAAAAAAAGACACAGAAGCGAAATATGCAATCCTTGAGGGTCTCATCGTCATCAGCTCCAAGGATATGACTTGGAGCCGCGAACACGACCAGGACTTTTAATTAAACTTTTGCACTTATGCAGCTGCCATATCCGTGCACATCCTGCAGTTCAATTCACTTTGATTGCCCCGAAAAAAAAAACGCGTCCATAAAAGTTTGAAAAAGAAATCAGAAATTTCACTTTGCCAAACAAAACTAATTAACGTTAAACAGATAAAACTTTTGCCCACGGGGGAAAACGGGGCTTGAGCATATGAAAAATAATTAACACAAGTTTATGATTATGTTTGAAGCTGCTGCCAAATGTCGAGCGATTTGTAAGCGAAAAGCGAAAAGAGCTGTAAAAATCACAGACAGAAAGCATTTAATCCCTGGCAGGAAATTCTTGTAGAACGTCTCTCGTTCCCTAATTAGTTAGGAAAGTGTTTCTAATGCGGGGGAAAGGGATCGCTTAGAGTTAAGTGAACTCGAATCAAAACAAAACTTTATCCATAAATTTCCAAGAATTCATTTCGGTCAAGAGAGGTATCCCAGTTTTATGTTTTTATCCTTTTTTTTTGGGCCTTAACCTTGACTGATCCGTATCTGCAGGCTCTTTGGCTGTCTTCCACATAATTAACTGACATGTTGGCCAATTTTTTTGGTAGCCTTTATTCTTTATTCCTTTAGATTTCTTTCTTTTTTCAAAAACGAATTAGTTTGAATGGCCTAGAGACAGGCAACAGGCCCAAAAAGGTAGAAAGACCATCGAACCGATCGGCGGATGCTCATGCAGAAATAAATAAAGACCCAAAAATAAAAAAGGAGCTAAAGGCAAATCCCCAAACAAAAGGCGAAAATTAAATTGGAAGGAGTTGAATTTGGGTTGGCCTTTTCCGAAACTATTTTAAAAGAAATAAAAAATTATAATTGATTAGGCATTTTTTGAGTTATACATCTTCAGAAACTATAAAAACCTAGACTACCAATTTAAATAGACAAAAAATGGTTCAAGATAATTTATTTCTAAAATTTTAACAGGCAATAATTTAAATTTATGGCATCTTTTATGGAATTCAGGTTGTATATTTTTATTTCTAAATATTTTAGTATGCAAACCTGAACAAATTTTAAATATTCCCTGCCTCAGAATTTATTCTTTCCCAAAATTGTTTTATATCCCTTATTTTTTTTACTCTTCCTTTTACTTTACCTTTTTATTTAATATTTTTTGCCGGCAGACAAAAGAAATAAAATGAAATCAAATCGAATCATTCATGAACTAATGGCAGTAAGCCTAATGTCATTACCTCGGGGCTATTTGTGCATCAGCGTAGAAATGTTCTTATTAGAGAATTATGAAAGCAGAGGTCCTGGGCCAAGGATTAGCCAAAAAGGCGTGTGCGTGTGGGTGTCGTGTAATCAATTGGAAAACTCCACCGAACCACCGCCTCCACCTTGGCTATTATGACAGTTGTGCAAATGGAGGAAAATTGTACAAGAGGAAATTGGATTAGTGGCTCGAAAATGATCAAAATGCGACCTCTGGAAAAAATATCAATACAAAAAAAAAACGCATCCCCAAAAACCCGAAATGTAATCAAAATGGGAAAAAGTGCTTGACAAAAACATCATTTATAAGCCGCGACAGGCTTGGAGCAACCGAAACATTTAAAAATATACTTTGATTGATGATATCTCTAGTCAGATAGCCAAAGTCGAAAAGTCCAGGCAAAAGGACACGCACACGAGCCAGGAAACGAGGCAAAGTGAAATGAAGCGAGTGCGCCGAAAGAAAGAAAAAAAGAAAAGCAGGGAAAATACATTAATTATTGAAATGTCATTAAGAGGAAGACCCAAACTGACATCCTCCAGATTCGCATGAATATTTAATAGGAAATTTTTATACGAAAAACGAAATAAGAAAATTATGACAAGATGGTGATGCGTGACCGCCACGCAGGAAAAACCTCTTACCGAATCACGCAAGATAATGTCTGACGACGATGATGGAACATAGTCACTCGAATCGCATTAATTACAGGGTGGAATCCCTATCACAGGATATATGTTTGCTTATAGGAAGTCCCAGGCCATTCATCAAGCGGGTCGAACATTTTAATTAGTTTTTGTGTTGGCAGCTTTTGAACCCGAGATTACCGACCATAATAGTTCTTCAAAAAGGCAAATTATCCCGAGTCAAACTGAGTTATGATAATGCCCAAAAACGGCCACACCCTCTATCAAAACACACACACCCCACACCACCAAAAAGGATGCATTCAAATTTGCCAAAAAGATTCTGAGACACATAACTGTCAAAAAGGACAACCCGTCGTGACGCAAATTGTTAGCGAAAATTAAGGGAGATTTTATAGATCGAATAGGAAAGTACCCTAGTTTATACCTAAAGTATTATTATAATATTATTTATATCTTTATTGTCTGTAAACTTAATCTGATTAAATATTTTAAAGAGAAAGTCTATAGAACAATATTATCCTGCACAGTTTTACTTTCCTAAATTGTAATACTAAATGGGTTCCAGATTTCATATTGTAGACAGACTTAAAGACAGACCTCAGAGTAATCTCTCCAGACTCCAACTAAAATACCCCAAAAATTCGAGGATAAATTTTCGCGCCTTTGGGCTGTAACCATGACAGGCGTCAGAAACTATAAAATAAACAAACTTCCGCTATGTGGCAGACGCAGATCATCCTGGCAAATGACGGTGATGATGATTCCGATGCGAACTGATGAGTTTGATGGTCCTGACATACGCTCGGCAGCTCCCATTGATTGCACCATAAATAATGAATTTATGCCGACAGGCAGTCGTCAGAGACTGGGACAGTGGTGGTGACTCCCGGCTCCGGCTCTTCGTCAACTAATAAAATATGTTTTTATTGCAATGCAACACACACACGCACCGCGTATAAAAATTAATGAGCCACGGAGGCGCGCACCCTTGCAAATTCGCATTCGCAGGATCGGGATACCGGAATCCTGGGATCCCAGGATCCTGGCAAATGCCTAGCAAAAAAAAAAAAAGAAAACATTACCATTTCTGCGCATTTCCCAGTTCGCATTCTCTTGCTGTTTTAATGCACATTAATGTTTTGCCAAACGAAATGTTAATAATATTCATAAATATGTCAGCTAATAAAATCTGCGGTTTGATTGTCACCTTTATGAGGAGTTCGCTTCAACCACCAACCCTTAAATAAATTTCACTAATTTTGCATGAATTTTCTGTCTTTGAGTTTCTTCCAGCGGTTTCTTAAGGTTTCAACTTGAGTCAGCAAAGTTAATTGGGTTTTATGTAAGTGCTAATTGAGTAGCATTGTTGATTTAAAGATTCAAAAACAAAAAAATGACAATAAAATAATAATTTCTTAAGATTTAACATCTTGCAGATCCCTCTCCAATATATATCTCCTTTAAAATTATATTGTATCTTGGAAATCAAACTTATTGAATAATTTTCTGCTAACATTTCCATAAA